AAGTCCTAAGTCCATGGGTCAGATGTCAAGCTGGAGGCTTCTCCTGATTCATGTAGCTGCAGGGGCTGACAAACCTAAGATCAGCAGGCAATACAGAAGGACTGGTTCAAGTCCAAGAACTGGAGATGAGAATATGTCACATGCAAGATCCAGATCAAGCAAAAAGCCAGTGAGCTTTGCCAGCACTTTTCCATATATATAGAAAACAGGCCACACTCTGAAGGAAACTCCCTCTCAACTGATTGGCTGCTCGTAGCACATCTCATCATGGAGGTGATTATATTATATCATGTCTCATCATAGAGGATGTCGTAACTGGGGTGTCAGGGGCTTTTGGAAGCAGCTTTAAGGGGAAGCCCAAAAGTGGAGCCAGGTGCTGGGGGCTTTTGGAAGTGGCTTTAAGGGCAGGCCCAGAAGGGGAGCTGGGGACGAGGTTTGGAGTGGCTTTAAGGGAGGCCAGGAAGTGAGCAGAGCAGTTCGGAACAACTAAGGGAGATGAACTTATCTGTCAGTTTGTTGTCCTGTGGTGGCTTGCATGTTGCTATGAGGCTGGAGGCTATGCCACCAGTGTTGCAAATGTCAGCAGGGTTACCCATAGTGGACAGGTTTCAGTGGAGTTTCCAGACTAGGATAGACTTGAAAGAAGGAAGAGGCCATCTACTTTTCAAAGAATTGGACAATGAAAACCTTATGAATAGCAGTGAGACACTGCCTATTACTGGTAAAGTTTATGAATAGCCCTGAAACATTGGCCAATATAGTGCCAGAAGATGAGCCCCTCAGGTTGGAAGGCACTCAAAATATGACTGGGGAAGAGATGCCTACTCAAGAGTAGAGCCAACCTTAATACTATGGATGGAATAAAGCTTTTGGGGCCTCCATTTGCTGATGTGGCATGAATCAACATGAGAAGAAACAAGGGCAAACATTCATTAATAATTGGAACATGGAACGTACAAAGCATGAATCTTGGAAAATTGGAAGTTGTCAAAAATGAAATGGAACGCATAAAGATCAATATCCTAGGCATTAGTGAGCTGAAATGGACTGGTTTTGGCCATTTTGAATCAGACAACCATATGCTCTACTATGCTGGGAATGACAGATTGAAGAGGAATGGCATGGCATTCATCATCACAGAGAATGTTTCAAAATCTGTCCTGAAGTACAATGCTGTCAATGGTAGGACAATATCTATATCCCTATGAGGAAGACCAGTTAATACTACTATTATTCAAATTTTTGCACCAACCACCAAAGACAAAGATGAGGAAATTGAAGATTTTTACCAACTTCTGTAGTCTGAAATTGACCAAACATACAATCAAGATGTGTTGATTATCACTGGTGACTGGAATGCAAAAGTTGCATACAAAGAAGAATCACTGGTAGTTGGAAAATATGGCCTTGGAGATAGAAATAATGCTGGAGATCCCATGATAGAATTTTGAAAGACCAATGACTTTTTCATTGCAAATACCTTTTTTCAACAACACAAATGCAGCTACACATGTGGACATTGCCAGATGGAGTACACAGGAATCAGATTGACTACATCTGTGGCAAGAGGTGATGGAGAATCTCAATATCTTCGGCCAAAACAAGGCCAGGAGCTGACTGTAGAACAGACCATCAACTGCTTATATGCAAGTTCAACTTGAAGTTGAAGACAATTAAAAAAACTCCACAAGACCCAAAATATGACCTTGACTATATTGTTCCTGAATTTAGAGACCATCTAAAGAGTAGATTTGATGCATTGAGCACCAATGACTGAAAACCAGAGGAATTTTGGGATGACATCAAGAACATCATCCACAAAGAAAGCAAAAGATCATTAAAAAGACAGGAAAGGAAGAAAAGACCAAAATGGATGTCACAAGAAACCCTGAAACTTGCCCTTGAATGGAGAGTAGCTAATGCAAATGGAAGAAATGACAAGATAAAAGAGCTGAAAAGAAGATTTCAAAGAGCAGCTCAAGAAGACAAAGTCAATTATTATAATGAAATGTGTAAAGGCTTGGAGTTGGAAAACCAAAAAGGAAGAACACCCTTGGCATTTCTCAAGCTGAAAGAAATGAAGAAAAAATTTCAGCCTCAAGGTGCAATACTAATACTGAAAGATTATATGGGCCAAATATAGAATGATACAGGAAACATCAAAAGAAGATGGAAGGAATAAACAGAGTCACTGTACCAAAAAGAATTGGTAGATGACCATCCATTTCAGGAGGTGGCATATGATCAAAAACCAATGGTACTGAAGGAAGAAGTTGAGGCTGCACTGAAGGAACTGGCAAAAAACAAGGCTCCAGGAATTGACGAAATAACCATTGAGATGTTTCAACAAATGGATGCTGTGCTGGAGACACTCACTTGGCTACGCCAAGATAGTTGGAAGACAGCTACCTGGCCAACTGACTGAAAAAGATTCATATTTGTAACCATTCCAAAGAAAAGTGATAGACAGAATATGGAAATTATTGAATAATATCATTAATATCACATGCAAGTAAAATCTTACTGAAGATAATTCAAAAATGGCTGCAGCAGTATATTGACAGAGAACTTCTGGAAATGTAAACTGGATTCAGAAGAGGACGTAGATGAGGGACATCACTGCTGATGTTAGATGAATCTTGGCTGAAAGATGTTTACTTGTGTTTTATTGACTATGCAAAAGCATTTGATTGTGTGGATCATAACAAATTATGGATAGCATTAAGAAGAACAGGAATTCCAGAACACTTAATTGTACTCATGAGGAACCTGTACACAGACCAAGAGGCTGTTGTTGGAACAGAAAAGAGGGGATGCTGCATGGTTTAAAGTCAAGAGTGGAGTGAGTCAGGGTTGTATCCTTTCACCATGCTTAAATCAATTTGTATGCTAAGCAAATAATCCAAGAAGATGGATTA